ATATTATGATATCTGTGTCTCTATCTCCATATCTCTAACTAAAATAATGTTTTTGGCTGGCATGGTGGCTCACACTTGTAATCCCAGAACTTTGGGAGGCCGAGGCAGGTGGATCATTGGAGGTCAGGAGTTCAAGACCAGCCTGGCCAACATGGTGAAACTCCATCTTTACTAAAAATACAAAAAAATTAGCTGGCCATGGTGGCACATGCCTGTAATTCCAGCTACTTGGGAGGCTGAGGCAGGAGCATCACTTGAATCCAGGAGGCAGAGGTTGCAGTGAGCCGAGATCACGCCACTGCACTCCAGCTTGGGTGACAGAGTGAAACTTCATCTCAAAAAATAAATAAATAAAATAAAATAAAAAATAAAATAAAATAAAACAATGTTCTTGTCCACAGTTCCTGGCTCATAACTCCCATAGCCCTTGCCACATGATTTGTTATAATGCTGTGGTGCTCCAGGCCCCAGACGCAGTCCCAGGCCTAGGAAATAGAATCTCTCTCTCCGACCTTCTGCCCAAGGCAGGACTCTAATCTGCTGTGGGTCATAAGACCTTATTCCAGGGAGGGTCCTGGCCCATCCTGCTAGAGCAAATTAATCAAACCCAAAGGGGGAACGTGGGAGCCCACACTTAAAGCTTCCAGAGGCCTGGACTTGTGACTGGTGTCTGAAGCTGGGCAGCCTTAGGGACTGAGCCCTCAAACTGTGGGATCTGAAGCTATCTCCAGGAAGACAGCATCGGAGTTGAATTAAATTACAGGACACCCAGCTGGTGCCCACTGCTTGGTGCATAAGAGAAAAAACAAAACAAAACAAAACACACATGTGGTCACAGAAGCCTTCTGGGTTGATGGTGGTTGTTGTGTGAGAGCAGAGGAAAGACAGTTTGAGTGTTTTTTCTACACACCAGCCAAGTGATTGGTAGCTTGGAGGTTAGAATAAAAGTTCTTTAAGCACAAAAGGTCTCAAGAAATTGAGGTCGGGTACGGTGGCTCACATCTGTAATCCTAGCACTTTGGGAGGCTGAGGCAGGCAGATCGCCTGAGCCCAGGAGTTCAAGACAAGCCTGGGCAAGGTGGCAAAACCCTGAGTCTACTCAGGAGACTGAGGTGAAACTAATGAAAAGACAAGCGATCTGTGAAACAGGGAATCCCACCAAGGAGAGAGGCAAAAGGCATAATGAGGATGCAGGTAAATAGAAATTCCGGAACAGCTGTGCAGCAGGCCTGGTGAGCAACCGGTCCAGATTGGAACAGAGAAGAGAGGATTCCAGGAGGCTGTCTGGCCCAGTGTCACTATGTTTTTGTTTTTGTTTTTTTTTGAGACGGAGTCTCACTCTGTTACCCAGACTGGAGCACAGTGGCGCAATCTTGGCTCACTGCATCCTCTATCTTCTGGGTTCAAGCGATTCCCATGCCTCAGACTCCCAAGTAGTGGGGACTACAGGTGCATGTCACCACGCCTGGCTAATTTTTGTATTTTCAGTAGAAATGGGGTTTCACCAGGTTGGCCAGGCTGGTCTTGAACTTCTGACTTCAGGTGATTCGCCTGCCTCCTCAGGCTCCCAAAGTGCTGGGATTACGGGTGTGATCTACTGCGCCTGGCCTCACTATCTTTTCTTGAAAGTGTTTGGTAAGGCACCTGGTGCCTTGCTCACCTTGACCTTCAGGACACATCCTCCTGTCATTTACTCTCATAGCACTGTGCACCGCCCCTTCACAGCACAGATCAGTGTGGTCATTAAACATCTATTTCTATGATTTCCTGATTGATGTCTGCCTCCCTCACTGCTCTCTTAGCTTTGTCAAGGTGGGGGCTGTGCTATTCTGGCTCATTACTGAATCCCCCATGCCAAACACGGAGTAACTGCTTAATACACACTCATTAAAGCACTGAAAGAAGGAATGCTGTGTTTTCATATGTACCAGAACAGCTAATATAAACTCCTGGCACCTGCCCCCAGGTAAAATTAAGCCAAGGACTGCTGGGAATGTAAAATTGCACAGCTACTGTGGAAAACAGTATGGCAATTCCTCAAACAATTAAAAATAGGATTACCATATGATCCAGTAATTCTCACTTCTGGGTATATACTCTAAGAACTGAAAACAGGCCGGGCACGGTGGCTCACGCCTGTAATCCCAGCACTATGGGAGGCCGAGACGGGCAGATCACAAGGTCAGGAGATTGAGACCATCCTGGCTAACACGGTGAAACCCCATCTCTACTAAAAATGCCAAAAAATTAGCCGGGCATGGTGGTGGGCGCCTGTAGTCCCAGCTGCTCGGGAGGCTGAGGCAGGAGAATGGCGTGAATCCGGGAGGCAGAGCTTGCAGTGAGCCGAGATTGTGCCATTGCACTCCAGCCTGGGTGACAGAGCAAGACTCTGACTCAAAAAAAAAAAAAAAAAGAACTGAAAACAGGGTCTCGAAGAGATATTTGTCCACCCAAATTCATAGCTGCATTACTCACAACAGCCCAAACATGGAAGCAACCTGAGGGTCTGTCCACTGACCAATGAATAAATAAGCAAAATGTGGCACATACATACAATGGAATATTATACAGCCTTAAAAAGGAAGGGAATTCTCATACAGGCTATGACACAGGTGAGCCTTGAGGACATGATGCTAAGTGAAATAAGCCAGTCATGGGCGGGCACGATGGCTCACGCCTGTAATCGCAGCACTTTAGGAGGCCCAGGCGGGCGGATTACAAAGTCAGGAGATCGAGACCATCCTGGTTAACACAGTGAAACCCCGTCTCTACTAAAAATACAAAAAATTAGCCAGGCGTAGTGGCGAGCGCCTATAGTACCAGCTACTCGGGAGACTGAGGCAGGAGAATGGCATGAACCCAGGAGGCAGAGCTTGCCGTGAGCTGAGATTGCGCCACTACACTCCAACTTGGGTGACAGAGCAAGACTCCATCTCAAAAAAAAAAAAAAAAAAAAAAGAAATAAGCCAGTCACAATAAGACAAATACTGTGTGATTCTACTTGTATGAGGTTCTTACAGTAGTCCAAACCAAAGAGAGAGAGAGAACGCAGCATGGTGACTGCCAGGGACTGGGGACGGGAGCAATGGGGAATTAGTGTTTAGAGGCATTAGAGTTTCAGCTGTACAAGATGAAAAGATTTCAGGAGATGGATGGTGGTGATGGGTGCTCAACATTATGAATGTATTTAATATCACTCAACTGTATACTTAAAATGGCTAGGATGGTACATTTTATGTTATGTGTATTTTAACACAATTTTTTTAAATGGTGAAAAAAAAAAAAGCCAGGCACAGTGGCTCACACCTGTAATCCCAGCACTTTGAAAGGCTGAGGTGGGAGGACTGCTTGAGTCCTGGAGTTTGAGACCAGCCTGGGCAACATAGCAAGACTTGTGTCTCTACAAAAAATAAGGTAGCCGGTTGTGGCACATGCCTGTAGTCCTTGCTATTCAGGAGGCTGAGGTGGGAGGACTGCTTGAGCCTGGGAGTTCAAGCCTGCAGTAAGCCATGACTGCACTACTGCACTCAGCCTGGGCCACAGAGTGAGGACCTGTCCCAAAAAAAAAAAAAAAAAAAAAGGAAAATGCTGGGTGCAGTGGCTCATGCTGTGATCCTAGCACTCTGGGAGGCCGAGGCGGGCGGATCACCTGAGGTGGGAATTTCGAGACCAGCCTGACCAACATGGAGAAACCCTGTCTCAACTAAACATACAAAAATTAGCCAGGTGTGCTGGTGCATGCCTGTAATCCCAGCTACCTTGGAGGCTGAGGCAAGAGAACCCCTTGAACCTGGGAGGTGGAGGTTGCAGTGAGCCGAGATCATGCCACTGCACTCCAGCCTTCCTGGGCAACAGAGTGAGACTCTGTTGCAAAAAATAAATAAATAAATAAAAATGAAAATAAAAATTATGCCAAGGGCTGGATCCTGTCTATTGGTCCCTTTTTGTAGGTGCTCTCAAACCCACTGACTGGATTACTGTTCAGCAAACATCCACTCCTCTCCCTCTCCCATGGGAATGGACTATTCTACACTGCCCTTTGATATTCGGCTTGGCCATGTTATTGCTTTGGTCACTGAAACGCTGGCCTGTGTGACAGGAGTGGCGGCTTCAAATGATGCTTGCACAGTTTGGCTTGTTTCTCAGACGTCTGCCATCTTTCTTACGAAGAGTTTCTCTCAGGTAGAAAGATGAGAGGCTTCTGGGGCAAACACAAACCCAACCTGCAGCCTCAAACCAAGCCCGGCAATCTGCATTCTAAAGCTGAGCAGTCCAGCCAAACCCAGCCCATCAAAAGATGACCCAGAGACCAACGATTAAAACATAAGTGCTTGGCTGTGCACAGTGGCTCATGCCTGTAATTCCAGCACTTTGGGAGGTTAACGAAGGAGGATCACTTGAGGCCATAAGTTTGAACCAGCCTGGCCAACATAGTGAGACCCTGTCTCTTAAAAAGATTTTTATTTTTATTTATTTTTTTGAGATGGAGCCTCGCTCTGTTGCGCAGGCTGGAGTGCAGTGGCATGATCTCGGCTCAACTGCAACCTCCGCCTCCCGGGTTCAAGCAATTCTCCTGCCTCAGCCTCCTAAATAGCTGGGATCACAGGCACCCGCCACCATGTCTGGCTAATTTTTAGTAGAGACAGGGTTTCAGCGTGTTGGTCAGACTGGTCTAGAACTCCTGACCTTGTGATCCGCCCGCCTTGGCCTCCCAAAGTGCTGGGATTACTGGTGTGAGCCACTGTGCGTGGCCAAAAAAAAATTTTTTTTTAAAGCTGGTCATGGTGGCACATGCCTATAGCTACCCGGGAGGCTGAGGCAGGAGGATCGCCTGAGCACAGGAGTTAGAGGCTACACGAAGTTATGGTCATGGTATTCCTCTATATCTTGGTGACTTCTATAATGAAGAGCTGGATTCAATCATTAAGCTTCTTTCCAGTGCTAGGATTCTATGGTCTAGAAGGATCTGTACCCCCTTAGATTGGCCACCCCCTTCTCACCTGGGTGTGGCTTAGCAGGGGGAGGGTAGCGTGGTAGGCTGAGCAGAAAGCCTGGCTGGCTTCCCAGGCCTGCGCTTCTACAGAGAAGTAGTAACAGTGCTCCTCGGACAACACCCAGCCTGGGGGGCATGGCTGACATCTGGCTCCTGCAAGCACAGAGACTGCTGGTGAGCTGCAGGGTAAGCTGCATTAAATAAACAAAGCCTGGTTGCCACCTCAAATGAAGGGGCATGGAACTGGCAAACCTCAGGGTGGGCAGGGCCCCAGGGAGGTTTTATAGTGTGTGCAGTGCACAAAGTCCCTGGGGTGACGGCTGGCATCTGATTGCTTATCAGTGCACAAGCTGTGTCCAGTGGGAGGAAGGCACCAATTTTCCTTAACTTTGCTCATCAAGTACCATGTCTTCATGTTGCCTCTCCCAGTGTCTCTTTCGAATTCTAAGGTGTTTTAAGGGCTGGAAACACAGTCCCAGTAGTGGAGCAGCAGGGAGAAGGGATGAGGACTGCGGGGGACACCATACCTGCTCTTGAGGCCAGGACCACAATGACAACCCCAGAGACTGCCAGGAGCACAGCCATGAACGCCAGGGCCCAGTACAGGGACTTCACATACATGGGCAGCCCTGGGACAGGGGCAAACAGGACAGTCAGGTTAGCGGAGACCATCCCAACCAACCCAACTCAGAACCACAGACATAGCACACCAGCATCGCACCCACCTCACCCCAGCACCCAACCCCTCAGCCTGGGATGCCAACATAAACCGCAACATTTAAGTTCTAACTTTATATTCTGGAGAAAGAAGTCAGATATTCTTTATTTTTTTTTATTTTTTTGAGACAGTCTTGCTCAGTCGCCCAGGTTGGAGTGCAGTGATGCGATCTCGGCTCACTGCAACCTCCGCCTACCAGGTTCAAGCAATTCTCCTGCCTCAACCTCCCGAGTAGCTGGGATTACAGGTGCATGCCACCATGCCTGGCTAATTTTTTTTTTTTGTATTTTTAGTAGAGACAGGGTTTCATCATGTTAGCCAGGCTGGTCTCGAACTCCTGACTTTGTGATCTGCCTGCCTCAGCCTCCCAAAGTGATGAGATTACAGGCGTGAGCCAACGCGCCCAGCCCTTTTATTATTTATTTATTTAGTTAGTTAGTTAGTTAGTTAGTTTTGAGACCGAGTCTTACTCTATCACCCAGGCTGGAGTGCAGTGGCATGATCTCAGCTCACTGCAACCTCCACCTCCCTGGTTCAAGCAATTCTCATGCCTCAGCCTCCCAAGTCGCTGGGATTACAGGTGCCTGCCACCATGCCTGGCTAATTTTTGTAATTTTAGTAGAGACAGGGTTTCATCATATTGGTCAGGCTGGTCTCGAACTCTTGACCTCAGGTGATCCGGCTGCCTCGATCTCCCAAAGTGCTGGGATTACAGGCGTGAGCCACCGCAACAATGTGGATTACAGTTACGTCGGCAGGAATGTTATTGATTGTAAACCCGAGATGCCAGATCGGGTGGGGGATCCGGATGGCCAACTGGGTCCCTTAGTCGGTCAGCTACCCAGCGGTCCAGGGCTGGGCGGGTGTGGGGGTTTCGGCTACGTCCACCCGACCGGGCGGCGCCGGCTGCCGGCGCAGGTGAGCAACTCACCGGTAAGCGTTACTGCCCGGGGCAGCTTCTCGTCGCCCTCCAACCCCGTGCGGGGCAGCAGCGCCGCATCCTCCTTCTCCAGCCCTAGCTCCTTGCAGCGGCAGCACGTGGGGGAGCCCGGAGAGCTTCCTTCCACTGGGCTGGCCCGGCCCTCAGCGTCGCAGCCGCTCTCTGTCCCGGCTGCAGCCAGCGTCGAGCCGCGTCCCCACGTGCCGCTCAGGGACGATGCGCGCGGCAGCAGCTGGTGCGCTGGGTCCCCTTGGCGGGAGAAGGCGGGGGACTCGGGCACCGGCACCGTGAGGAAGCGCGTGGAGGGCCTGGGCGACGGCGTGCGGCTACCGCCGGCCGCGCCCACGGGCTTCACAAGCACATCTACCTGCAACTCCATGGGCGCCCAGGCGCCGGGCGCAGGCTCAGCCCCGGGCGCCTCGCCATTCCGGGGCAGCTTGACCGAGGCGGGTCCCGGCGACGGTGGCTCGGGGCAGACGCCGTAGTCCAGGCTGAGCGGCGGCACGCGCGGGGTCCCGGGGCGAGGCGAAGGCAGCTGCTTCTCGCTCGAGGGCTCCCGGCCTGCGCCCGCCGCCTTCTTCATGGCCCTGGACAGACTCGGGCTGCTTTCGGGACCTTCAGGTTGTCGCGCCTTCTCGGGGACCTGCGGCTGCTCCAGCCCGGGGACCAGGCTTCCCACGGGCTCCATTGGGAGCTCCGCCCCGGCTTGGCCTCCGCGCGCAGCCTCCCAAACCCGCTCCATCCCGCGCGCCCCGCGAGCCGGGGACGCTGAGGGGCGCACCTGGGGTCAGGTGCAGAGGAGCTTTGCTCTCCTGCGTCCAGATTGCTCCAGCTGAGTCGCCTAAGTTGTCAGGCCACGCCCCTCCTCGAAGGCCCCCGCTGTGATTGGCTGTGGCTGCGGTTCTGCTGCCCCGCCTCCACAAGGCACTGGGAGGGAGCTGGCAAGGGCGGCGGGGCTAGGTGAGGGTTGCAAGGTGGGCGGGAGCTCTCCGGAGAAAAGCAGAACGCGAGCGGAGGCGTGTGGCAGGGAACCCGGAGCCCCACCTGACGTTTCCCTCTTCTTTGTCTCTGACCTCACCTATTTTCCCCTCCAGCTCTATGCCAGGGTGTTGGTTCTGAGAGTTACAGTTTGGGCGGGGAAGGATTGGCCAAGCCTGTCTGGATCCTGGGACCTCAGAGAAATCAGAACCCAAAGGAACTGGGGCGGCCTGTGGAAAAGTAGCCCAGCTGGTTGTCCTAACAATCCAGTAGGGTTTCGAACGGACTCTCCATCACACCTGGGAGGACTCCCCCCACTGAGTAACGCTAAGATAAAAGATAAGCAATTCTTCTTCTTCTTCTTCTTTCTTCTTTCTTCCTCTTCCTCCTCCTCTGCCTCTTCCCCCTCGTCCTCTTCCTCTTCCTCTTCTTCTTCCTTCTCCTTCTTCTTCTTCCTTGTCTTCTTCTTCCTTTTCTTTTCTCCTTCTCCTTCTTTTCTTCTTCTTCTTCCTTTCTTCTTCTTCCTTTCCTCTTCCTCCTCCTCTTCCCCTCTTTCTCTTCCTCTCTTCCTCCTCCTCCTCCTTTTTTTTTTTTGACAGAGTCTTGCTCTGTCGCCAGGCTGGAGTGCAGTGGCGCAATCTCAGCTCACTGCAACCTCTGCCTCCCAGGTTCAAGCGGTTCTCCTGCCTCAGCCTCCCGAGTAGCTGGGACTACAGGCACCCGCCACCGCACCCAGCTAATTTTTGTATTTTTAGTAGAGACAGAGTTTCACCATGTTGGCCAGGATGGTCTCGATCTCCTGACCTCGTGATCCACCCGCCTCGGCCTCCCAAAATGCTGGGATTACAGGCGTGAGCCACCGCACCCGGCCTGTCCTCTGGTATTTTTAAGTGCCCCTAGGATAGGGTTGATAGACAAAATGCAGGTCAGTCAGTTAAATTTGAATTTCAGTTAAACAAGGGATAATTTTTAGCACAGTAGTCCTCCTTTATCCACTGGGATAGTTCAAAGACCTCCCAGTGATTGCCTGACACTTTGGATAGCACCAAACCCTATATATACTGTTTTTTTTCTATACAAGTGGTCTTCAAAAGGTTCATGGAAAACGCATATTATGCATGCATGGAAAATGCAAAACTATGCATGGATTTCAAAAATTTTTGGCACCAAAATAAATTTGTACTAACTTGTTATCACATGTCTGAACGAGATCTAGTTTGAAGCACTAAGAAGGATAAGACATCAGTTTGAAAAGAGTTCCTGTCAGAGCAACAAGAATTCTGCTAAATTTGAAACAAGAATAGCCATCACATTTATGGTGAAATCACTGATGTTTTTATGAAAACTCATGGGGACAATGCCCCAAAGAAACCAGCAGTTTGCAAATAGATAACTCGTTTTAAGAAGGGATGAGGCCAGGTGCGGTGACTCAGCCTGTAATCCCAGCACTTTGGGAGGCCGAGGTGGGTGAATCACTTGAGGTCAGGAATTCGAGACCAGCCTGGCCAACATGGTGAAATCCTGTCTCTACTAAAAATGCAAAAATTAGGCCAGGCGCAGCAGCTCACGCCTGTAATCCCAGCACTTTGGGAGGCTGAGGCAGGTGGATTGCCTGAGCTCAAGAGTTTGAGACCAGCCCAGGCAACATGGTGAATCCCTGTCTCTACTAAAATACAAAAAATTAGTTGGACGTGGCAGCATGCGCCTTTAGTCCCAGCTACTCAGGTGCCTGAAAGTACAAATAATTAGCTGGGCATGATAGTGGGCGCCTGTAATCCTGGCTACTTGGGAGGCTGAGACAGGAGAATTGCTTGAACCCGGGACGCAGAGGTTGCAGTGAGCCGAGATTGTACCACTGTACTCCAGCCTGGGTGACAGAAGGAGACTCCATCTCAAAAAAAAAAAAAAAAAAAGAGAAGGGATGAGACAATGTTGAGGATAAAACCCTCAGTAGCAGACCATCCACGTCAATTTTTGAGTAAAATAATTAATATTGTTTGTGCCCTAATGAAGAGGACCAATGATTAACAGCACAAACAGCAGCCAACACCAAAGACGTCTCAGCTGGTTCAGCTTACACTTTTCTGACTGAAAGATTAAAGTTGAGCAAAGTTTCCACTCTATGGAAAACCATTGTGTCCAGATTAACTGCAGCCAAGAGCAGAACTTTCAATGGAAATTTAAAACAAGGAGGATCAAGATCCTGAAGCATTTCTCTGAAGATTTGTAACAGGAGATGGGAACATGGCTTTACCAGTAGGATCCTGAAGACAAAGCACAAAGCAATGGCTCCCAAGAGGTGGAAGTGGCCCAGTCACAGCAGAAGTGGACAGGAGCAGAAGTCACAGCAACAGTTTTTTGGGTGGCTGAAGGCATTTTGCTTGTTGACTTTCTGGAGGGCCAAAGAGCAATAACATCTGCTTATTATGAGAGTGTTTTGAGAAAGCCAAAGCTTTAGCAGAAAACCACCTGGGAAAGCTTCACCAGAGGGTCCTTCTCCACCACCACAAGGCTTCTGCTCGTTCCTCATCAGTCAAGGGCATCATTCAACATGCTCAAATTTTAAATGCCTCTTTGGGCCCAACACCCTCCTCCTGCTAACACCCTCTCTATTCTTCCTTGTCATGGCTGTCTCATGTGTCCGTGTGCAGAGACCACCAAACAGGCTTTGTGTGAACAAGGCTGTTTATTTCACCTGGGTGCAGGCGGGCTGAGTCTGAAAAAGGAGTCAGCGAAGGGTGGTGGGCTTATCATTAGTTCTTATAGGTTTTGGGATCGGCGGTGGAGTTAGGAGCAATGTTTTGCAGGCAGGGGGTGAATCTCACAAAGTACATTCTCAAGGGTGGGGAGATTACAAAGAACCTTCTTAAGGGTGGGGGAGATTACAAAGTACATTGATCAGTTAGGGTGGGGCAGAAACAAATGACAATGGTGGAATGTCATCAGGTAAGGCTATTTTCACTTTTTTTTTTTTTTTTTTTGAGACGGAGTCTCGCTCTGTTGCCCAGGCTGGAGTGCAGAGGTGTGATCTCGGCTCACTGCAAACTCCACCTCCCAGGTTCATGCCATTCTCCTGCTTCAGCCTCCCCAGCAGCTGGGACTACAGGCACACACCGCCACGCCCGGCTAATTTTTGTATTTTTAGTAGAGACGGGGTTTCACTGTGTTAGCCAGGATGGTCTTGATCTCCTAACCTTGTCATCTGCCTGCCTCGGCCTCCCAAAGTGCTGGGATTACAGGCATGAGCCATCACGTCTGGCCTATTTTCACTTCTTTTGTGGATCTTCAGTTGCTTCAGGCCATCTGGATATGGACGTGCTGGTCACAGGGGATATGATGGCTTAGCTTGGGCTCAGAGGCCTGACAATGGCCAACATTTTTTTTTGAAACAGAGTCTTGTTCTGTCACCTAGGCTGGAATGCAGTGGTCTGATCTCAGCTCACTACAACCATGGCCTCCCGGGTTCAAGCAATTCTCGTGCCTCAGCCTCCCAAGTAGCTGGGATTATAGGTGTGCACCATCACAACTGCTTGATTTTTGTATTTTTAGTAGAGACAGGGTCTTAAGCTCCTGATCTCAGGTGATCTGCCCACTCAACCTCCCAAAGTGTTGGGATTACAGGCGCGAGCCACCACACCGGGCCACGACCAACCTTCCTTAACAAGGTAATTGCCCCCATTTGTCTGCCAAAATTTTCCTTGGCAAGGGTACCAGTCACCCAGCAAATGCTTTTTTTCCCTTTCTGGAAAAAAAAAGTACACATATATATGTATATTATAAGGATGGGGGAGTCTCGCTATGTTGCCCAGGCTGGTCTTGAACTCCTGGTCTTAAGCCATCCTCTCACCTCGGCCTCCCAAAGTGCTGGGCTGACAGGTGTGAGTTACTGTGTTTGGCCTGCAGATGCTCTTCAGTGCTCGTTTTATCTCAGGTTTTGACATTATGATCATTTCTTCCTCCTCTCAAAACCCACTCATCTGTGGCTTGTGGCCTTCTTGACACCACCTCTACCAGCTCTCCTTCTGCCTCCCTGGTTGTTCCTTTGAAAGTTGCTGCAGAGCTTCTCACCCACCATATATGAGTGACCTTCAAGCCCAGATCTTTCTCCTGAGCTTAGGTTCTTCTTTGCAGGAATTTGACACTAGATCTGAAAGACCCAGAGCTGAGTGTTGTCAGATTTCCTTCCTAGTAGGGCAGCTCCCTAGAGAGAAGGCCCAGAAACTCTGGCTCTGGGCCCCAGAGTTTGTCCAGTCTCAGCCCTTCCTAAAGCTTGTTTGTTCAATTCTGTGGATTTCATGAGACCCTGAGTATCCTTCCCACATCTCCTCCACTTTTTGCCTTATCATTTAAGACTGGGTCAGGCATGGTGACTCACACCTGTAATCCCAGCACTTTGGGAGGCCAAGGCAGGAGGATCACTGGAGCCCAGGATCTGGGCAGCATAGAGAGACTTTGTCTCTACTAAAAAAGCAAAAAGTTAGCTGGGTGCAGTGGCATGCACCTGTGGTCTCAGCTACTAGAGAGGCTGAGGCGGGAGGATTGCTTGAACCTGGGAGTTTGAGGCTGCAGTGAGCCGTGATTGTGCCATTGCATTCCAGCCTGGGCAACAGAGTGAGATCCTGTCTCAAAAAAAGAAAGGAAGGCAAGGAAGGACAGAAAGAGAGTAAAGGGGAGAGGAGGGAAGGGAAGGGGAAGAGGAAGGGAAAGGGGAAGCGGAAGGGAAGGATGAAGGGAAGGGGGAGGTAAGGGTAAGGATAAGGTGAAGGTGAGGGGGAGGAGGAGGCAGAGGGGGAAGGGAATGGGAGGGGGAGGGGGAAGGGAAGGGCAGGGTGAG